AAGAGAAAGAGAGATGGATGTTACAAAGAAGAAGAAAATAGCTTATCAGATAAAGAAAATAAGAGAATGGGGTGGGAGAAGGAGATCTACACTACTAAATAAATGAGACAAGGAAGAAAAATAAATGTAACCAATTAAAATAAATAAATGTAAGCCTACAAAAAGAAAAATGATCATGCAATAAAGAAGATAGAAGAAGAAATGATTAAATGTGACTAACTATGCATAATAAATATTACATTGAATGAAAAAGCAAGAGAATAGAAATAAGATCATAAATAGGCGAAAATATCGAAAAATAGATAAAAATAGTTAAAAAAGGAATAGATACAAGAAACAAACAAAAAGGAAAAAAAATGATGATTTAGGCTGGGCCACCAAGCCCGACGCCCGGAGTCGGTGCTAATTCAGATCGTATGGTTGTGCAGGCAATCCCGAACTTTCTCGGTTTTTAACGGGGCAAGTAGAAATAGGAGAAAGATGGCCCTAAACGTCTGATTATCCAGACCACCTTCGGTTTGAAAGTGTAGTTTGAAGGAGTTAGTAGTTTAGTTTTGGACTGAAGGGGTTTGGATGGAATAGGGTTAGCTCAAATGGGCTCACCTTGGGACTTTCTCACAACCTCAAGCTTGAGATTAAGATCAAGGGGGATTTGGGCTTAGACTAATACTCAAGAAATTTGAGCATAGCCTAGGCTAAAAAATTATCAAGATCCCAAACCTTAAGCCTGAGGCAAAGGGGCTATTTATAAGCAAGAAGGACCCTTGACAACTTGGAGGTCGTTTTGTGCGATTTTCAGACCATCAGAGTTTTGACGACGCTTGGAATAGCGCTGGAGCTAGTCGAAATGGCACCATGTTGTTAATGCAGCAATAATGACGGTTAACAACTATTAATTGCTCATTAATGCATCTGATACGTCCTTATCAGTGTCTGACGCTATTGGCAATGCCGTTGGTGACATTCTATCTGCTTTCAAACCCTGTTTTTGATACGTGTCACGCTCTGGTGACTCTGATATGAATCTGATGGACCAATCAGAGCTTGAAGCTATTTCGACTAACGCCAACGACATTTGGAGTGCTGTCAGATACCAGCTGGCCCGTCGCCTTGGTGTACCCTCGTCAGTTCATCAACCAATCGAAATTCGACAACCACATGCCATACTAACTTATGACATGTCATTACGGGTCTGACATATTGACGCGTACAGACTGACATGTCAGTGCGTCATCTGCGTCATGTCGGCTAGGCAGTTTCCCACTTGGTGGAGGTCTTCGGGTTTGGCGCTAGTTGGAATGGAGTTTGCGGCATTGGCACTGCCACTAGATTTCTATTTGTTTTGGACCTCACAGGGGGTCTGGATCTGGGAGCTGGTGGGATTGGCGCTGGCGCTAGTGGGAATGGCGCCAGACTTCTGGTCTTTCGGGCCGCCTATTTGGTGACTGAGGTGCCTTCGGTACTTTGCCATCGAACTTTTGGTAGGGCTTCAGTGTCCGTTGGGGCAACACTAGAACCTTCCCTTCTGAAATGCTTCATGGTCAGGTCCCTCTGAGTTTAACTTGCCTTGTCCTGCCTCTTGATGCCTTTAGTCCCACTGGGGTAATAAAGGTTTGGTAGAGGATAGGTTTACGATAAAAGAGCTTTGGTGGGGTGAATGGTTTAAAATATCCTAATGGTTTACTTGGGACATTTTAACCTATCCATAATTTCTCTAGTTGAGATCGAGGTGTCTACAATTATACTTCTAAAGTGGAGTGTAGAACACATTTGTGCTTCTTACTACCACAAAAGACACATCCCACCAAAGGTCAATAATCATCCAGATGTTGGTGCATACTCGTCAACTTCTCCTCCTAAGTTAACATCATTATACCCCTCAGGGATTAGATCCTTGGTACCATAACATATGCCATAATCATGTACCCCTTTAAGATATCTGAATATTCTCTTAATTAGTTTCCAATGGTCCATATTAGGAGTTGGTCATATATCGACACTAACCTATTACATAATGGGTCTAACACAATTCATCAAGTAATTAAGTGACCCTACAATTTGAGTGTAAGGCAATCATGTATGATTTTTGTTTCTTTATTAGTCATAGGACACAATGCCTTTGACAATTTACAATTCTCATCATTTTGGATAATCATTGGTTTAGAATTCTCCAAACGAAAAATTCTTTAATATTTCAAGATTATATTACTCTTGGTCAATAAATAATAATCTTTTATTTCTATTTCTAGTCACTTTAAGTCCTAGATTATAGTCAACGTGTCCCTGGATGCTCTAAAAAGATGTGATGCTTGTATTGATTAAAATGTTAAAACAAGCATTAGACTCCAAACAATAACCAGAGGACATCACACTTGGGACTAAATTCGCCCGTGTATTTCATATCATAGAAACATAGGTTTTATATCATATACTGGGAAAGAAACAATTTCAAAGGTTTAATCCCCTATTACAATTTACATCAGCTAAAGAAAAATGAAAATAGGTTGAACACTTTTGATTCAGCCCTTGAAACCTATACATTCGCTTATAAGGAAGAAAACATACAGACATATAAAAGAGGAGAAATAATATCAAGAGGCATATCAGCCCGTATACCTGAGTCTAAACACTTGGATACTAATCCTCAGGTTTGATCCTCCCTCAAGAACGGGCTTCAAGTAGGTCACGGAAGGTGAACTTCTCTCTCTATGAATTGGTCACGTAGAGAGAACAGTCATATATGGGAAATATCTCTTTCACGCTCCATGTAATCATCAAGCTCACATGAACATTGTATCATCTTGTCTTATCATATGGTCATGGGTACATATCATATCAACCGACCTTGAACCCTCAACCCTCTCGGTACCTTCTATATACCAAAACATCTCATGACCGAATCGGGGTTCTATGACTCTTGGTCCCAGTGCGTCAAGATTCTAGAGTCATGTCACTCTTATACTCACACTCAAGTATAGAGTCATTGAGAATGAAGGGATTTAAGGCCTAGAAAGGACATAATTCCAACACCAGCAACACGAGAATGGAAATTCTTTTTTATCAAATGGCATTGCAACCACATCAAATGTATCGAGGAGAATGTTAAAGCGAAACAACAACAAACATGTTCTTACATTCTTGAGAAACTGTAGTTCACATCTCCTTTCTTATATCGCATCAAATTCCAGCCTGCGAGTAGCTCAATCAAAGTAGTGCTTTGATATTAAAAAAGAAAGAAAGAGTATACAAAAATGGACATATATCCATAGAAAATGGCGGTGGTGGTTACCTGGACACTGCTTGAGCCTTTTCATTGGCCGCACGAAGTGGAGAGGTTCAGTTATCCAGTGCACCATTTCCTCTAGCTCGCTTCTCTTTTCCTCTCTCAATCAAATTCTCAAAGTACTGCTTTGATATTAAAAAAAGATGCATCCAATGGACAGATATCCATATGAAATGGCAGTGGTGGTTACCTGAGCTCTGCCTGGAACTTTTCAATGGCTGCACGATATGAAAAGGCTCGATTATCCAACACAATAACTCTGCTATCACTATGCATATTTACGGGAGACACCCACTCATCCTAACATCACCTTCACATGGATGAATATATATATATATATATATATATATATATATATGATGTACTATATTA